GAAATTTATTGAAATTTTAATAAAACTATTCTTATAATAGATTGAATTAGAACGTGCTAATGCTGCAACAAGTGAAATAAATAATCTTGAAACACAATTAGATGTGAGTCGATTTTAGTTTTTAAATTGTTATCTCTCTTATTATTCCAATAAAATTCATAATGAATATTTAGGAAGCTCAACAATTATTTCATACAAGTTTTAATAATTGTAAACAACGTTTAGCTGTTCTTGCAAAAAAACTCGGTAGTTGCGTAGAACGTGCAAGACCTTTTTATGATGCATGTAAACAAGCTGAAGAAGTAAATTAATTCGAAACATATATATTTGAATAGAATGATATTTTATTTTTATATTTAGGCTCAGACAGAAACTCAAAAGGCTGCACAAGAATATCAACGTTCTGTTGAAATATATCGTGTTGCTAAAGAAACATTAAGTTTAGCCGAAAGTAAATTATTAAAAGCAGATAAACGTGAATTTGATGCTGCATGGCAAGAATATGTAAATCATGCAACAATGAAAGTATAAATTATTCATTGAAATTATTTATTAGATAATCATTTAATTTAATAAAGGTTATGCAAGCTGAACAAGATAAAACACGTAGTGAACGAACACATGAAGATAAATCAAAACTTTATCAAGAATTTGAACAAAAACGAGTAACACTTCAACGATCATTAACAAGATCAATTGTTAAATCAAAGTACAAAAAAAAAAAATTATTTCAAACAAAAAAAAAAGAAATTGATTTTCCTATTTTTTTATAGACCTTATTTTGATGCAAAAGAAGATGCTGAACATGAATTACAAGTAAATAAAAACAAATTATCAATACAGTCCTCCTTCCTTTTTTTTTGTTCAATATCAAAAAGGGATAAGTTTTTATCATTTTAGCAATTCTCTAAGTAACGATAATGAAATCAAATACATATATAGACTGAATACAAATGCTATTTATTTATACAAATCTTTATTTTTCTCACTTTTGTAAAACAAGAAAAGTTGTTTTACAAGCATTCATCTAATTCTTCTTTTTTCACATATATCGATTAAATATACCACAGTCTTTTAAGATTTTCAAATCGAAACTCTAAAAACTAGATATAGTTCCAGTTTTTCAAGAAATCAATCAATTAAAAAGAGTTGTCTATTGCGAGAAGAGATTTAATATATGGATAAAATTTCAAATCGAAAATTCAGTAAAATAGTCATAACTCCGTTTCAGAGGTTCATGGGTACCGAACCCTTTTAGGAAACCGAGACTTTCTTGTAAATTCAATTTGAGCTCAATGGGTGAATATCAGTTCGAGTAGTTCTCTCGTAAGCATATATTAAGTGATTTTCCTTTTTTTCTTTAGAATCAGAAACTTCGAATTGAAGCTGTGCAAAAAGCAATAATTCAAGCGAAAAAAATGTATCGTACAGCATTAAATAATCTTGAACGAATATCTGAAGAAGTAAGAATATTAAGACAAAAAAAAAATCTCAAACTGAATTTCATATGTGGTTAAGATTCATTCAAAACGTAAAAATCATTTATTAATTAATCTTCCACCTCGTGAACCAGGTGTTGGTTCAGATAAACCCGATGAATTCATTGAATTACCTGATCTTGGTAAGTATGAATCGTAGTTATTTGCTTCTTTTCGAAACAAAAAAACCAACATTTTAGACTTATCGACGGTTGTATCCGTCAATCGAGGTAATTGATTACAGAGACGAAAAAAAAAACAGAAAGTTATTTTGCTTCGCTATGCATTATTTATCTATTTTTATTTTTAATATAATTTATTAATATAATTCTTTTTTATTTAGAATTAACTGAATTTCCAAAAATCGATATATCTGATGAATCAGCTGATGAAGAAGATGAAACAAAAAAAACCAATGATGATGAAATTCTTTCAAATTCTATAAGTTCAATATCAATCGATGAAGTTTCATTGAATAATACGCAAAATACTACTACTAATAATAATAATAATTCCGGTATGTCAAATATTCAAGAAACAAGTGATTATGAATCATTTGCTGATTGCATGCATCAATCATCTATTTTTGCTAACGCTCGTATTGCTACACCTTTGACAAATATCAATTTAGATAATCGCTTTAGTCCTCAATCATCAATACGTGTAAATGGTGAAGGTTCATCATTACCAAATGATCAACAAAGACGAAGAAAACATGGTATATCAACAACAACATCAATTCGTAAAAATGGTAAAACAACACGTATAAAAACAAATAATGAAACACCATTGCTTTCGCATCTTTTTGGAACGCATACATATGATAATGATTCTAATTTAAGTTCAAAACTATAATTCAATATTTATTCTTGCTTGTTTGGGCTTTCATTCTTCTTGTTCTTATATATATATTTTTTTTTATTCAAAAATTCTAATCCTATGCATTCTTTTGTAGTATGATGATCAACAGCCAGAATTTATTTCTCAATTAATCAATTAATAATTGTGTTTGTTTTTCTTTTTTTTGTGAATATTTTGTTTTTCTTTTTTGATTGATCTGAAGAATATTAATAATAATAATAATAATAAAAAGAACATTGGAAGCGATAAATCTTCATGATGTAATCTATTCATTTACAGATGTCATCAACAGTTCGAGTAGGAATTATTGGTGGATCAGGTTTTGATAGAAGTGATATTTTATCAAATCGTGTCGAACATGAAATTGTTGATACACCATATGGACGACCATCAGATAATTTAGTTAGTGGAACGATAAATGGTGTTCAATGTGTATTATGCTTTCGACATGGACGTCAACATTCATTTAATCCTACAAAACTTAAGTAAGTGATTTTTATTAAATTTTTACTGTTTCGACTGTGCTTCTTTTTTTTTCTTTCATTTTAGTTATCGAGCTAATCTTTGGGCATTGAAACAACTTGGTGTTAATTTAATTTTGGCTACTACAGCAGTTGGTTCACTTGCTGAAAATTTTCCACGTGGTACACTTGTTGTTTTTGGTATTGATTTTTGTTTTATTAATTTTCATCTAAGTTTTGATTATAATTTAGATAATTTCATTGATATGACAAAGCATCGACCGAATACATTTTATGATCATGAACCCGGTCATCTTCAAGGTTTGTCAATAATCATTGTATTTAATAATAAATAATGAATGAATCAGGGATAATATAGCTATGTCGCACTACCGTCGATATACTGGCAGTAGAATTACCGTCAGAGGATACTTAACTGTTTAAGTATAAAACTATATTCCTTATATCATAGTAAGATTGTTATGTATGTTTTATTTTTGTTATCCCAATAGGGATATAGGAAGATCACGGAGCCTTGCTTGATGATTTCATTGTGATGTATGACAGATTTCAATTAGAACTTGTATAGAGTTATTAACAAAAAAAACAAGGTCTAATTTTCTATATCAATCATTTATTATCAATATTTTCGCGAGGAAACCACACTGATTGTAAAATAAATCTCACTTCATTAGATAGGTTCTATGGAGCCTAAAGAAAGCTTAAAAGAGACACAAAATAAACTTCGTAATGGGACTAGTTCGTTTTGAACATATTAGATTTTTGTACTATTTCGTATCCAGAGATATAAATATAAGAATGAAACTTGCTTCTTCGTATAACAGAATTTTCAATGTTAGTATCGCATAACAGGAGATTTGAGAAAACTGAACACTTTCATAATGAACTAACATCATTGAGAATTTTATACCTGAAAATTCACTGAAATGATCATCAATGAAGAAGAAAGACTCATGGTACGAATTCTTTTAGACTTAACCTAGTCTCAATTACACCGTCGCAATGCAATAAGACATATCTCAAAAGCGATTTATCACTTAGTAAAGTTACTTTGTGATTTCAAATTTTGCTAAATTATTAATTATGAATTTCCGAAGTTGTAATCTGTAAGAATCTTCTTTCAACTTATTTTCATATTTCGCATATGAATGAACCACAGAAACTGATATCCATTATAACGATTATAATTCGGTTTCAATAGTTTTAAATTTTTGCTAGTCTCACCAATACATCCTTGTAAGCAAAATGTACTCAAACGCTGGATATCAGTTCATATGGTTTCCTCATTAGCAGTAAACAGCGTAGCATCTTCATTGATAGACAAATTGAAATATTATTTTTTTCTAGGTGTAATGCATATGAGTATGCATCCACCATATGATCGTGAATTACGTGCATTATTAATTCAATCATGTGCTGAAACACCTGATATTGCATATAAAGATAAATCAACTGTTGTTGTTATTGAAGGACCAAATTTTTCTACTTATGCTGAAAATAAAGTTTTTGTTAGTTGGGGTTGTACAACAATTGGAATGACACAAACACCAGAAACAATTCTTGCCAAAGAATTAGGTTTACCATATGCAGCACTTGGAATTGTAACTGATGATATCTGTTGGAAAGAAGATGGTTTGTTTATTTAGTTTTTTGTTTTCATTTAAGAAAAGAAAAACAAAATCAATGTTCGATTTTTGTTTTATAGGTATTGTCGAGCCCAATGAAGTTATAACAATATTTAAAGCAACATTTCCCAAAGCAATGGAAGTACTTAAACGTACTATAAAAAAAATTGGTGAAAAAGATTGGAAGGAAATCTTAGAAACAATTCAAACTCGAACAGAAGAAGCAATCATGAAACATTGAAAATGAAAACAGGCAAACAAACGCCAGTATTTTTGATTTTTTTTTCTGACATTTTTTTTATTCTATTATGCAACATGATTTTATTGTGATAACATTAAGAAAAAAAAGTTTTTCAGTAATGATATATATTTTGATTTTCACTTGTATTGCTCATTGTTCTTTCTTGATAGATAGAAGAATAAAAATTTTATGGCAAGTCCTAATTTGACATTAAATTTCTAAATTGTGTTATTCATGATCGGAATTTTTATACTGATAATAAAGTACTAGATAAGTCAAAATGATTTGGTATTTTGAAAATATCTCAACATGTCGTCATATTCTCTACACGAATGACAATGAAAAATCTCATTGAATTTTTTTTTAAGTAATTTTCTTATAAGGCTAACATTAAAGAACTGTGTAATGATCAAATATCCTATTATTTTGAGAGAAATTCTTCGGATTTACACTACGGATGTAACGATGATGATATACTGGTCTAAACATGTACGTATAGACTAACGATAATGACGGTGAACGCATGGTAAAACTATGATAGTCTTGGATTTGTAAAACGATCGGTTCCTTTCTCCAAAGAGTTTGTTCCGTTGAACAACATAATGGCGATCATATTTTTCATGAACATTCATGATTTTGATATTATTTTACGAGAACTTTTTTGTATAAAGTATATCATACAAAAAGTTTGTTTGAAATAAAACAGAAGACTTTTTGATATTATTTTCATTTTTGTTGTTTTTCTTAAACTAATAGGACAACTGACCACTAGACTGTGCTTTAATTTTAACCTTATCAGAAAATCATTAAAATGATTTAATGGCATTTTTTTATTGCCATCTTTTCTAAACTTACCTTTTACGGATTTATCTTAATGTGTTAAAGGAAAAGAATAGACATGAGAACTGACTGCTCCAGATTATGTTGTTTGTCTAAAACAGTTAAAATGCCTTATACTTATGTCAACAAAAAAAATCAAATTTCGGTAATCTAGTTTGTTCTTCTAACCAATCTCAATTTTTATTTGAGTAAGTTTCCGACTAAAATAGAAATAGATATCAGAGAATCAGTCTTTCCTGAATAGCAGGGCAAAATATTTTACGTTGTTAACTTCTTTCTGCAAACAATTTGTCATTTACGAAAGATTTTCTAATAAACATTATTGAGATTCTGAGTTGGTCGTGATAGATTTTGTTAATGGATGAAGTAGTGACAATTCAGAACAAAAGATATTGTTTATCTGGTGTAATAATGATCGTGCGGCATCGGTACAAAATGAAGGTAAAAATGTTTTACTATTATGATGCTGATTTCTTTATGTTTTTTGATGTAATTGCTGATCGTAGGATGAAACGTCAATGATGAATACACAATCACAATTTGATCAAATATGACGAGTGAAGAAAACGAGATTAAATTAATTACAAAAGATATCATGTAATCATCAAATAAATAGTTTTCAGTTTTCTTACCCAAATAGATGTTAAAGGATTGTCATACACCTGTTCAATATCTTTCATCATAAGCTGGAAAATCATATAACAATTGAAATCCCGTGTATTCCAAAAGATATATATTTATAGTAAGCATTTTTTCAAAGTTTCTTCTTGTCTATCTCATTGTGTGTGGATCTTGAATGAAAACATATATTAGCACGTGTTGAACGACATTTGAAAAAACTTTTTTTTCGAACGGCAAATTTCTCAATCATTTTATCAAGCACAAACATTTCTTAATCAACT